TCTGTGTGAGTGGGGCTGCCCCTGCTAACTGTCACTGACAGATGTGTGACAAACCCATCTGTGTGAGTGGGGCTGCCCCCTGCTAACTGTCACTGACAGATGTGTGACATACCCATCTGTGTGAACGGGGCTGCCCCTGCTAACTGAGGAAATGGAAGTACAGGGGCAGCTTAGGTCTCAACGTGGCGTTTTCAGAGTCAGGACAAGCTCAGCAGGGCTGTGACCACTTCTCCAACTTTTCTCCAGTGATTTGTCTCCACCTGACACCTGAACTCCTGGACACTTTCATTCAGGATTTTCTTTCTGTCCAAAATACCCTTCTGTTCATGTGAATGACCTTTGTAAGAGCCTGGACATTGAATATCAAACCCCCAAACTTTGGGGGAACCTGCAGTGTGACTACGCCTGTGCTATATGTTCGAGAAACTCTAGTGAGAAATTCTGTTGCCCCCGTGACAGCTGTTTGCTCCTTTCTTACTATTGGAAGAAAAAAAAACCTCTGACAATAAAGAAACAGAGAGGGGAAGGCAGTGAAGACAGGGTGCTGGCGTGCCTAGTAACAAAAACTATCACAAGAACTGCAAAAGCCACCACCTTGCACAAAGGCCAAAACAACCTCACACAAAAATAATCTGCAAGGACATGTCCCTGCAGCTGCATGTCACCCTTGTTATTGATCTGCATAGCTGAGGATACTTATTTCAGAACAATTCTATAATCCTCATTTTCTCCCCTTACCTCCCAAGTCTGTGCGTAGTTTACTGTGGCATATCCCCATTGCCATCGATGCTCTGTTCCCAAGTAAGTATAGTTTTCTTTTAGAGAGACTTCCCCTGTTATTAAGGCTGACATCTTCTTGGGTGTGATAGAGAATTCCCTTTGATCTTGGCTGAACCTCCTGCATTCTGAGAAGCCCTTTCACATTTCTCCAGGAAGAAGTGGCGTCTGCCTTTCCCTCCCCCTCCCAGCTGTTTCCTTTTGCTTCTCTTATGACATGTATCAAAGTGACCTTTGAATATACATATGAAGGAGTTCCCAAAGCTGCCATTAATAGGAAAATAGGAAATTTGCAGCTAAGTGTATCTTTATTTACAAGATAGTCATTACAAAATTTTACAAAGAGATGGCTAACCTGTAGAGACTACTTTGTAAATGTTTCGTAAAAGTCTGTAATAAATATTTTGTAAATAAAGGAATATTGAGCTACAATTTCCCACCCCACCCCCCACATATGGTGACTGCTGGGATACCCTTTATATAAGCCTGCCATCCCTGCTAAAATTTGAGTTCTAAAGGAGAAAGGAGAAATAATTGTTATATTTGCTGTCTATTCTCTTAGCCCCTTACGTAGGACTCAATAAATATTTGCTTAATTTGGAATGAGGGGTAAAAACACACACAAATACAGATTAGAAAGAAGGAAAGGGAGGAAGAGGCTTGTTAACCAGACAGAATCATCCACGGTTGGTCACCAAGCATGGGATAATGACTCACTAGCGCCAGATGGCATTTGGGGAGGCGTGTGTGAAACTTTTAGCCCAGTTTTTTTTTCCTCTGTGCTTCTCTTTCATCACCTTTCCAGGCAGAATTTTCATAAAGACAGCTTGCACACTCAGATGCTTTCCAGGCTGTCATGCTGTCGCTCGGGTAATTACTGTGCTAATCACCAACACCTTGCAGATGAGTGGAGATTAGCGTGGGCCCGAGGAGTGAGCAGGCAGACTCTCTCAAAGATGGTATTTGCAGGAACCCAAAGGACTCCAGGTGAACAGGCTGGTAGAAAGGAGTAAACAAAATATTTTATATCACTGCTCAGGAGGACCTGCGGATACCACTGTGCTGTATGGATGAGCGGAGGGTATGAAGATTGACCCACACTCCTGCAAGCTGTAGATCAAAAGGGGAAACTTGAAATATATTTTCATGAGAAAGTAGGGAAAATGAGAAGAAAATGTCCCAATCAGTTTGAAATCCTTGGGATTAAACAAAGCAATTGAGATTTTGTTACTTGAAAAATTTTCAGAGCTTTTAATAAGCCAGATCTTCAACCTAAAATCAAACACCTGGTCATCCCCAGCCCAATTTGACCATAGAATCCTGGACCCTACTCTCATTCTCACTTCATGGGGGGTGCTTTGTAGAGAAATTCTAAACGAAAAGCTTTGGGAAGCTTTGGGAAATTCTAAACTAAAATCAGGATTTCAGTGGCAGAAGGGAAATTATCTTTCTTTGAGAATCCATTTGGTACTAACTACATGCTTATGTGCTTTCCTAGACTTTCCGTATTTAATTTGCCCGACTCAGTGATGTGGAGAACACTGTCTGCTTTACACAGATGTGGAGATGGATGTTCAAACAGTGCATGTGCTCGCACTGGTTTGAGTCCAAGTGGGGCCTTGAAGTGATGTTGATGGGTGTCTCCAGGACAGGGGAAGGAGCTCTGTACTGTTCCACCAGGACCTGGTTCTTGGTGAGGAGAGGTGTAGAAAACGCCAGTTATTCTAGTAGTCATCATAATCACATTAAGATGGAATATCAGACTAAGGTGAAGACTGGGCAAGGGACCCAGGACACTGGAATACCCTTCTGGGTAGCTCTGCGTCCTCATTAGGCACCTACTGGCCACGTTCATGCAGAAGTCACTGAGCACCTGATGGAGAGGCCAGGCGCAAAGCTCTGGGGAGCAGGGCAGGAGACAGCTGGTTAGAATCAAGAGAAGAAACACAGCAGAAACCGTTCTCCCCGAGGCAGACTTTAGAGAGGATTAATGTCTCACCCAGAACTCTCTGCAGAACTCTCTGGGCAAAGCACCAGTTTCTTTTCTTTTTTTTTTTTTTTTATTTTTTCTATTTTTTTGATATTTAATTTTATCTTTGTTTTTACTTTCTAATTTTATTTTTTAATTTGTTATTAAATCATAACTGTGTACATTAATGCATTTATGAGGTACAATGTGCTGATTTGATATACAATGTGGAATGCTTGCATCTAACTGCTTAACATAACCATCTCCTCACTTACTTATTTGTTGTGATAAGACATTCATATTCTATTCTTAATAGTTTAGAAACATATCATTGCATTATATACATTAGGTTAGGTCCTTGACCCAACTTATCCTGTGAGGCTGTGGAAAGGGCAGGGCCCTCCTGGTCTTGTCTCTCCTAGGACACTCCACCCAGGTTGAAAGTGCAACTCCCAGGCTGGCCTTCCATGCTGGCACGGGGACTGTGGTTCATTAAAATGTTCCTGTTCCCTCCACGAATGGATCAGTAAATTGTGGTATATGTACACCATGGAATATTATGCAGCCATTAAGAAAGATGGAGACTTTACCTCCTTCATGTTTACATGGATGGAGCTGGAAAATATTCTTCTTAGCAAAGTATCCCAAGAATGGGAGAAAAAGTGTCCAATGTACTCAGCCCTACTATGAAACTAATTTATAGCTTTCATAGGAAAGCTTTAACCCAATTTTAGCCCAAGAACACGGGGAGAGGGGAGAGGGAGAGGAAGGAAGGGGGAGGGTGGGTGGAGGGAGGGTGATTGGCAAGATCATGCCTATGGTTCATCCTATAAGGGTACATGTGAATCTTTCTAAATGTAGAATATAAATGTCTTAACACAATAACTAAGAAAAAGATATGAAGGCTATGTTAACCAGTTGGATGAAAGTACTTCAAATTGTATACAGAAACAGTACACTGTACCCCATGATAGTATTAATGTATACTGTTATGATTTAATAAAAAAAAAAGAAAAAAAAGTTCCTGTTTTTCACTGCATGTCCACCTTCTAATTTCTTACTGCAAAGGTGAATGGGAGAGGGGTGTTTCTGTAATTCTGAAGTTTTAGAAAAGAGTGCAAGGTGAATTGCAAAGGATTGGTAGAACTGAGTCTTAAAAAAAAAAAAAAAACAGAGTAAAAAACACAGAAGAGTAGGGTGGTGCCTGTGGCTCAAAGGAGTAAGGTGCTGGCCCCATATGCTGGAGGTGGTGAGTTCAAACCCAGCCCTGGCCAAAACTGCAAAAACAAACAAACAAACAAAAATAAATAAACAAGGGTGGTGCCTGTGGCTCAAAGGAGTTGGGCACTGGCCCCATATGCTGGAGGTGATGGGTTCAAAACCCAGCCCTGGCCAAAAACTGAAAAACAAACAAACAAACAAAAAAAAACCACAGAAGAGTAGTTTAGTTTTTGTCAAGATGGGATAAAGATACATCATTTTATCTTTTCCATAGATTACAAGTGAAAGTCCTTCCTGGAAAACATGAAACAGCCACTTCAAGTGGGTATTTGTGTGTGAATGTTGGTGGGTGAGTTTTTCCTCCCATAGCTCTTGAATAGACTCATGGCAGCCTGAATACCTGATCTTTGCGACAGACGGGAACAGAAATCACTAACGGAAAGACAACTCAAGATAAACATAAAGTTAAACAACAAATGTCCATTCTTTTCTAGCTAGAATCCCAGAAAAAGAAACTGCTAGGTCCTTGAAGGTGAGGGAAGTCACAAGGAGGAAGGAACCCAAGGAAACGACCCTATAAAGCTGTGGGTGAAGTCTTGGGCCCAACCTGGAGCCACAGATGCCTAGAACTGACCTGCAACCACATGAATGAGAAATGAACCGGGAAGCAGGCTGGGCCGTGAAGGGAGCACACAGGGAGCCGTGAACATCACTGCAAAGCCTTTAAAACTGGACGGACAATGGAACCACAGAAGGTAAGTCAGACTTACAGTTTGATCCAACTGGGATGAATGATAGATTAAAAGTAAAAGAAAGGGAGAATAATCTACATGCCAATATTAATCAAAAGAAAGTTGTGACTGATATAGTAGCATCAGGCAAAATAGACTTCAGGAATAAAGAGGGAAAACTGATCAGGAATAAAGAGGGAAACATAAAATACTATAAAAGAGTCAACTCATGTAGAAATATGATAATCCTAAAAGGGTAAGTACCTAATAACAAAGCTTCACGACAGATGGACCAAAAGCTGTCAGAATTGAAAGGAGAAACGGGCAGTGTCACTGAGTCATAAGAAAAGCAGAGAGAAACTCAGCCAGGACATAGAAACAACGCCACAACCAGCTAGTCCAAATTGCCAGGTGACGAAACGCCACCCAAGAACAATAGGGACACCGTCTTTTGACGTTCTCATGAAGGATGTATCAAGTTAGATACATGCTAAGCATGAAACAAACCTTAAAAAACTTAACAAAAATATTCTTGAAAATAATGAAAATTAACTAAGAATCAATTACAAAAATATAATTAGAAAATCTACCAACTTGGAAGTTAAACAATAAATTTTCAAATAATCTGAATAATCCACAATAATTCAAAAAAGAAATTACAAAGGAAGTTATAAAATATTTCAAATGGGTTTAATGTGAAAAGAAAACCAAATTTTGGGGGATGAACTAAAACAAATGGAGAAATTTTTAACATTAAATTTAACGTTAAACTATAAATGTCTCAAACTTATAACCTTCTACCATGAGAACCTTTTTTAAAACTGCAAAATAAAAATAAATTTGGGAGTACAAGTCAATGAAATTGAAAAACAATGAAACAAAAATCTGTTTTTTTTATTAATATAATTGATGAACTTAAAAAGACTGAAAAAGAAAAGATGGTATGAAACATAAATAACCACTACCAGGAAGAGGCGCTATCATAGGTATCAGAAGCACAATAAGGGAACAGTACAGACAACTCTAGGTGCAAATTTATTTATTTATTTATTTTGAAACAGAGTTTTATTATATCACCCTCGGTAGAGTGCCGTGGCATCACAGACCACACCAACCTCAAACTTTTGGGCTTAAGCAGTTCTCTTGCTTCAGCCTCCCAAGTAGCTGGGCCTACAGGCACCCACCACAATGCTCAGCTATTTCTTTCTTTCTTTCTTTTTTTTTTTTTTATTGTAGTTGTCATTGTTGTTTGGCAGGCCCAGCTGGATTCAAACCCACCAGCTCCAGTGTATGTGGCTGGCACTATAGCCGCTGAGTGACAGGGACTGAGCCATCTATGTGCAAAATTTAGATTAGATGGATCAATTACTAATGAAAGAAGCATCATAAAATCCATTGAAGAAGAAATAAACAAAATAATCCAATAATTATGCAAAAAAGTGAATTCCCAATTTACAAAATTAGTTTCACTAATAAATTCTAGAGAACAAAACTGTAAAAAAAGTCTGGAATTTCATATATTCTGTTTTCAAAAAAATAGAAGAGAGAATCTCTCAATTCCATTTATGATGGTAGTATTATCTTTGTGGAGATAGAAGTCCCAGCTAATATAACATATTGAGGAAAAGAAAAGATAGACATAAGGATAGGAAAGAAAGGAAGAGAGAAAATTCTATTCACAGATGCCGGGCTTTCACTACATGGAAAATCCCAAGAAATCCTGAAAGAAGAAAAAATAGTCTCCCAGAACTAATGAGTTTAAGCACAACCAACCAATTAGTTGGAGACCAAAATTAAAAACGAAGAATCAAAAAAAAAAAAAAATCTTGTACATTAGCCTCCGAAAATTAAAATTTTAACATTTAATGTAATAAATTAAGTGTATGGTATGTTTGATACAAAACACAAAATAAATTTCTTTCAAAATGGAAATATTAATGACTGAAATAAAAGGAAAGGCACAGTGTAGCTATAGATTGGTTACAATATCAATTTTGCCCAAATTGATGAATAGATATAATATGACCACCGTCAAAGTATTAGAAAGCTTTCTTTCTTATTTTTAGTAGATGTGAATAAGCTGATTCCAAAACTGGTAAGTAAAAAGAAGTTAGAATAGCTACAATAATTGAATAAAATTGGAGGACTTGTACTAACTGATCATAAGACTGACTATAAAACTCCAGTAGCCAAGGCAGTATGGTATTGACAAAAGATTAGAGAAATAGGCCACTGAGATAAAGTGAATGGAAACCACAACAGATACATATGAATTGCAAAGGCAATTCAATCGGGAAGGTATAGATTTTACTAGTTATATGCAAACAAAATATGTATCAACTTTATCTCAAACTTCTCAAAATCTTACATTAAATTGGATCATGGAATCAATATAAAATGTGAAATTATAGAGTTTTAAAATGAAACACAGGGGAAAATCTCTGATTAGACAGAAAACCTGTGATAAACTGGATGCTAATGAAAAATTTTGTTGTGTTGTGGCTGGTGCGGTGACTCACTCCTATAATCCTAGCACTTTGGGAGGCGGAGGCAGGTGGATTGCCTGAGTCCACAGGTTCAGGACTAATCTGAGCAAGAGCAAGATCCTGTCTCTAAAAATGGCTGGGTATTGTGGCAGGTGCCTGTAGTCCCAGCTACTCAGGAGCCTGAGGCAAAAAAATTGCTCGAGCCCAAGATTTGCAAGTTGCTGTGAGCTGTGAGGCTACTGCACTCCACTGAGAGTGACAAAGTGAGACTATCTCAAAAAAAAAAAAAATTGTCACATGAAAAGCACTGTTAAAAAATGAAAAGACATGATACAAATTGGGAGAAGCTACACAGACGCCATATTGAAGAGATAATTTTTATCAAGAACATATAAGAATTTTTAAAACTCAACAATAAATAAATAAATAAATAGATAAACAATAAATAAGTAAAAATGAGCAAAAAATTTGAAAAGCATATTGATAGGAAATAATCATAATCACATAATGGATGTTTAAGTGTCAATGGTATAGGGACTATGTTTGCACCCTTCTGATTTAGAGAAAAATAAGGGAATCTAAAGATTTGGAATATGTTGAAATTGGAGATGTTGAGAAAAATTAAAATCAGTCACAAATAATTTATATATATATATATGTATATGTACAAGATGGGGAGAGGGGAAAATGCCCAAGACTGGAGGTTTATGACAGGCATGTCACCCTGGCCTGGTGTGTTTGTGCAGCAATTCACATTTTCGGCACACACATCATTTCACTTGACATCCAGCAGTGCCCTGTAACACCCACCTCAGGCTGTAATTGCAAACATTTGATACGAATATCTGACTATCTAAATCCCTGGAGAGTAAGACGTTAACTTTTTCTGACGCTTCTTTTCGTCATATCTTCTGGCTTCTCCTAAATTATACGTGAGTATTAATTTATTCCAAATCAGACTTGTGAAGGAGAATAACAGGCATGTAGTGTTACCTGATGTAATAGAAATTAAACTGCATGCTTTGTTGAATAAGAGATAATTAATTGCATTTATAGTCTATTTACTGGTTACTAGCCTCACAATTCCTCCCAATTAGATTGTAGCCCTGTATAATTATATTTTAAGATGATTTATTCATTTGTTCGACCTAAATAGCAACAGTTAATTTTAAATTGATTAAATATACTCTAGGCATGAGATTATGAACTGCATTTCAAGGAATAAATCATCCTTTTAACGAATAGAGTCTAGTTTAATTAATTAAATTGAACCAAAAATGTAGTCAGCGATCTTTCTGTCACCCAAATTTAGTATCTGGGGTCATCAGGGCAGAATGTTTGCACTCATTGACATTATATAAGTCAATCCAACCATATTTTACACACATTTGAATAATTTTTATCATCTTCATAATAATGACTGAATCAAATGTCACTTTAACAGGGATAGTCAAACATTGATATTAATTTAAATACCTTGATTAATGGTTAAATTCAGTGGTTATGGACTATTCAATTAAAATAAAACAAGTTTAAAAGGCTATAGAGAATTGAATTTGTGATTTCTGTTGAAATAATGTGAGCTTTAATAATAATAGTTTAATTTTTCATGATTACCCACTGATGGAGACTTGAGGTACTTGGTTTTTCGCAAAGAACAGTGCATGTTGGTTTACAGCATAGATTTAAAATCAGTGCCTCGTGTCTGTTTCTATACGAGCTGTTTGATTAAAGCCAAGTTTCCATATATCCCTAAGCCTCAGCTTCCCTGTCTGGACCATGAATATAAATCAGTACCTAGTAGGACTATTGTAGGAGGCCTACTGTACTTAACAGGACTACTGTACTTAACATAGTAACTGACAGAAAAGTGAATATACAATGAATGTTCTACTGTGTTGTAATTAATACTTTATTGATATTATTATGCTATTGTTTTACTAGGTACAAAAACAAAATTAGTGCAGAGAAGCAAAGCGGAAGAAGAAACAAAGTGGTCGATAGCTGGATGCCATTAAAATATAAGCATCGTTTCTTGAGAGAGAAGCCAGAGGCTTGGCGTCTTTACCAGAAATTTCCTCAACCACACCTGAAGGCAAATGTCTGTGCCAAACCAATGTTGTGGCAAAATTAGGAAATAGCCGGCAATTAAATGTCAGGTTCAATGTTGAGGTCTAACTGGTTACAGGTCCAGGAGCAAAAAAAATGTAAGAAATGGCAAGGAGTCTGGCATTAATCCACATAAACAAGTTTCCACTTAAAAAAACTATATTTCAAGTAGTTACATTATTCAGGGTCCAGTCCAGAGACAGAAAACACACTGGTAATTTAAAGATGGGAATTTTAATATAAAGAATTATTAACTGATAACATTTTTCATCAGTAGCATGCATGCTAGCAACTAGAGACACTAGGGTACTCCAGCTAGTCCTCCAATGTTCCTGTAGGAGGCTTCCTGCCCCGGAGAAAAGGAACAAAAGAGAATGCTTAGGATTTAGAGAGAGGATGCGTGACCAAAAGCAGAAACTTGGAAGGGAGCCTCCCCACCGAGGCTGAGTTTCAGGCCTCCCAGACATGGATGTGGCCCACAGGATGGCACAGAACTTGGCCAAGGAAGTTGCCCTTGGCTAGACCTGGCCCAGGGGCTGTGAGCAGAGCTTAGCTTAGAGAGCAAGAAAGCAAGAGCATACACTGTCCAGCGTGAGGACAGGGCAGAGAAGAAGAACGTGGAATGGTCTGAGACACTGGAAGCCTTTTGTCTGATTGGCTGAGGATTTGCTGACAGTAGACACCTCTGAGAGAGTGTCCCTTACACGGGCCAACCACCAAAGAGACATGATCCTGGGTCCAGCTCCACCGTCACAAAGCAGAGCAATGCAAGGTGGACTTGGAGTACAGTGACAAAAAACTGGTAACAGCTCAGTAGCAGTAGCTACTATTATTAACACTCACGTAGGGTCAGATACATGAGCTCATTCAATTTTTACAGCAGCCTGATGATTTAGGAGCTATGATGCCTCCCAGCCAAAGAGGAACACACCTAGAATAAAAAAATGCAGGATTTACTCTTGCAGAAAAGGAGGACACGTATCATAAGAAACTAAAGCTTCTCACAAGAGGGGAGTGTCATCAAAGGTTTTGGGTATAAGAACTAATCTCAAGACGGTCTTGGTAGTTATGGTCAGAATTTATAAATCAGGCTAATCTCTAGAACAGTCACTGGGCTTATTTTCAGAACACAAATCCCGGCGAGTTATTATTAGATCTCTTTGGCTGTGTACGGTCTATCCGAGCCATATGGGTGTGAATAAGTTGTTTTTTGAAAGAATTTCAGCATCTTCCCTGGCTGGGGTTAGTGTGGTGCAGCTGATTTGTTGGGCAGGTCATGTGCAGTATTCCAAGCTGTGATTTCTTTCAATTTTCACTTTGTCCCATGACCCCATCACAAGTCCTTTATTAGAAAGGCTTGTTCCAATCTTAGAATGTTAGCGCTGGAAGCACCTTGGAAATAGCTTAGTCTAACCCAAAAGTTCATGACCATTGCTTCCTATATCACACTACACAGTCTTCCCCCATTAAATTCAGAAAACTAAAGAAATGACCGGGACTGGGGAATGACATTCTAGGTTTTGAGAATCAAATACATTTGATGATTTACATTTAGAGACAAAATTAGCTACAAATGTGCAAATTTTCCATTCCCTTTATTAGCATATTATTCTTTTTCTTGTTTAAATAGTGAGTTTAAAAAATCACTCCTGGTTGGGAACAGAAGCTCATGCCTATAATTCTAGTTCTAGAATCCCCCAGGGTGGACGTTTATGGCCAGGAATTTGAGACCAACCTAGGCAGCAGAATGAGACCTTGTCTCTACAAAATGTAAAACAAATAAACAAAAATTAGCCAGCTGTGGTGGTGCTACTCTGGCTACTCAGGAGGCTGCTATGGGAGGACAGCCTGAGGGCAGGCACATATTCTGGGGCGGCAGTGAGCTATGATCTCCAGTCACTACACGCCTGCCTGGGAGACAGAGTTACATCATGTCTCTCAAAAAAACAATCACTCTCAACACAGTTTTATCTTACCTTGACAATGGAAGCTGATGGTTGAACATTTTGATACAATTCTATTTTTACCTCTTTCCATTCAAAGATTGAATCTAACACCCTATTGTAATTTTTTGTTTAATATCAATAAAACATCTTTTCCATTGATCTTACATTACAATGAGCTCAGATTAATTCTGCAGGTCTCACCAAATTTATAACTGAAAGAGAAAGTGGAAATCAGATTAAATTTATTTAAAATTGGACCTATTGAAACTGCATCTCCTGCAAGTCTTTACTAAAAACAGCTTGTCTGACAGGAGAATATGTACAAGGCATATTAGAATTTTTATAAAACTTTAATTCCCTCTTAGTGCTTTTCATGTCAGGGAAATATATTGAAGCAGAGAAAATTTATCACCTACTTTTGAACATTTAATAACTGAAAGAAAGGTAGGCCCAGTTCATGCAGTATGTACTTGGCATCATAATCAGCTCCGTTGCTTAAGCCCATGCATCAGTGGGTGATCTAGAAATTATGTTAATATAGAGAATTGCTCAGTCGATGTGCAGTGGATTGGAAAATCCCCAGGTCCTGTTTATGGAAGTGGCAGTGGTATATGTATATATCCAGTGGCAAAGTGAACATGATAGAGATGAAATAGGAGATTCCAGATGAAGGCAGAGACTCTCCCCGTGTGCCCGTATCCTACAGGAGGCAGTGAAAGTCACCTGCATGTGTGTAACACTTCCTGACTATTTGAAGAATTAGGATCAAGGAGCCTCGATGTCATTTTAGAGCAAGGTGCTTACCAGGTTCCTGGGTCATTGTAATTGGACCTGGGTTAAATGAATGAGTCAGACTTGGCACATGACTAGGGAGAGATAATGAAAGAAGAAAATTCATAGGGAGATCATTTCCTTTCACTGTTACAAAGTAATGATAGAGAAAGTAGAAAGTGGCACAGACACTTCTTCCTACTTCAGTTTGTGGGAGGTGGAGATGGGGGAGAATCTATGCTCTTAGCCTTGGAAGATAAATAGAAGTTGCCAAAGGCAGAGTGGATACTGTGGCTGGACACTCCCAACAGAGCGGATACCGTGGCTGGACACTCCCAACAGAGTGGATACCGTGGCTGGACACTCTCGACAGCGCGGATACTGTGGCTGGACACTCCCAACAGAGCAGATCCTGTGGAAGGACACTCCCAACAGAGTGGATACCGTGGCTGGACACTCCCAATAGAGCAGATCCTGTGGATGGACACTCCCGACAGAGCAGATACTGTGGCTGGACACCCCTGACAGAGCAGATACTGTGGATGGGCACTCCCAACAGAGCGGATCCTGTGGCTAGACACTCCCGACAGAGCAGATACTGTGGATGGACACTCCCGACAGAGCGGATCCTGTGGATGGACACTCCTGACAGAGCGGATCCTGTGGATGGACACTCCCAACAGAGCGGACCTGTGGATGGACACTCCCGACAGAGTGGACTTGTGGCTGGACACTCCCGACAGAGCAGATACTGTGGATGGACACT